AAAAAAAACTTTAATTGCTCTGCCATCTTAAACCCTCCCCATAGAGCAGAGCCTGGTATCAATATAGATGGAGCTGGGTGGAGCTAGTGGGTTCTGCTCTGTTCCAGATTTCCCAATCAGTGAACAACTTTGATCGGGGATGCTACCTCTGAATGTCAGATTGCTTCATGTGATTATCTGAATTTTCCCCAAAAAACCAGAAAATAAATTCTTTTGAAGTTAGCTAGAAGACAAAAAGACACCAAATATCTAAAGAAGAAACTTTCTTTCTTTGAGACAGGGTCTCACTATGGACTCTCCCGAGCTGGCCTTAGCAATCCTCAGTGCCCAGGCCTGCAGAATCCTGGGATCGCAGCCCTCCACCCAAGCATGAGCTTTCTTGTGGCAAACATGACTGTGTGGCGGCGGTCAAGGCACTGAAGGGAAGCCCTCAGCCGACTGGCCCAGCACCGCGCTCCAGGCCATGCCTGAGCATGTGTTGTCCTGTGGTTTGAAGAGTCCGTGTTTCTCATTTCAAAATAGCAACAGTGCTTCCTCTTTTCTTCGTTCTAGCATTCATCAGAAGATGCTTTTCCAAATACCTTAGGCCTCACTGTTCCGGAAGAGGAGAAAATGCCAAGCTCCTCAGGAGGTGGGATGCAAGCTCCATGTCCACGGATGCAGGTGCCCTGCAGCTGCCCAGCTGCCTGTGCAGGAGCTGCAGGAGACACATGGGGCAGGGCACGGGCACAGGCATGCCCAGCAGGGGCTGTGCTTTGTGTGAGGTGCGTTCTGCACCTTCCCACCCTAACCCGGGCCCCCGGGTCTCCGTATTCTGGAAGATCAGCTGTTACGCCCCTGCTCCAAAGTCATGTCACCAACTGAGTGAGCCTCCTCCATGGGAAGTTAGCTGTGATTTTGTTAGTCTTTTGTTAGCTTTTTTGTTTGTAATGTCTCCCTTGTGACTCTTTCTTAAGGTACATCTTTAAAGACGACTTAGCTGCAGGAAAAAGGAGCCAAATGAACACGCAGGAACACCACCTGCCCAAGCAGAGCAACCAGCAGGCTCCACAGGCTCGCACGACGTAAAGGAGCCTCGCTGCTGTTAGCACCCGGGCCTTGGGTTGATTTTTTATTTTAATGCTTTTGAAGACCATTTACTAGGCAGTTCACAATACCCACATTCATATATGGACTTATATTAAAATTTATTCAAGGATAAGATCACTCTGTTGTTGGAGAAGTCTACATAAAGAATAGAGCTGACATTCTAGGTTTACATGTCCTCATGCAGCTCCCTTATGACTTGCATAAAGTACAGAAATGTTTCCCTTGACGCAGACTCCTTCACTCTTCTCGGTCTCTAAATGTTTCCCTTGACGCAGACTCCTTCACTCTTCTTGGTCTCTAAATGTTTCCCTTGACGCAGACTCCTTCACTCTTCTCGGTCTCTGGCATTTACCTTTATGCCACCCTGCCGCTGCTTGCCCGTGCAGCACAACTTCTGCCACTTCACTTCAAAAAATGATCATTAAAAAGTCAACTGGAAATGATCTGATATAACTGAAGTACTGTACTGTAAATCAATAGAAAACAGCCTGTTGTATGAACTACAAATCACCTTGATGCTGTCAGGAGCTGAATGACACTTTCTTGGGTGATGTGGACGTGAACGCGTTATATGTATCCACCTGATCTCATCTCCACAACTTGGACACGGACCAAGGCCACACGTGGTGCCTTCTCAGCAGTGGGGACTCGTGTGCTGCACTTCCTGCATCTCTAACAGACGAAAGGTAAAGTGTGGCAAACTGGCTGCGTGGAGCCCACAGGAGCGGTCTTAATGTATTTCCAGGTATGGCATCTGGCCACTGACCACAGCCTCTCGGAACAAGATAAAGTTGGTGAAATAGTTAACAGATGTTATCCACACTTGAGACATAAAAGCCCCATTGCTAAAAACTGTGTCGGGTCAGATGGATATTTGGCTTTTAGTCCATGACTTGGCTGACTTGGCAAATGGAAAGCTGAGCCCGGAGGCCTGAGGCGCAGCGCAGAGCCCACACACCTGCCCCGTGCCACAGCCCCTCAGCTAGCGGCGGTGTGCGCCTCTAAGCCAGCTCGATTACATGGCAGCACATATTTGATTATTACGGAAATCTGATGCCAATTTCTACATCTACTAAATTAAAGTTATTTCTAGGAGACAAAGGAATAGAGTTTTTACTTGCAGTTCAAAAAAAAATGTCAACAAATTTTGTTATTTGTCTCAGTTTGCAATCTTCACTAGGAGCTGTATCCCCAGCTCCTGTCCAGGAGGAGCTTGACGAAAATGTCTTCTTCTTCACTCTTGTTCATTGCTTCATGCTTCAGAGTAAGTCAGCACTGATTTCCAGGTGAAGCTTGGTAGCTGAAAGGAATCGTCTCAGTCTTGGGTCACACATATGCTCGAGTCAGGCACTGAAAGATGCTTGTGCTACTTTAGAGTTTGTAGTTTTATTCACAGCTTTGCAAATAAAGTCACCAGCTTCCATCACTTTGTAGAGATTCACACCCTGGTCAGAAAAGGATGGCAGAACGGATGGGAAATCAGAAGTAAGACAAAAGCAGATGTCTCTTCATTTTATGAGTCATCACTTATTGATTTAAAATTGTTAAACATTGTGTTGTCCATTATGTATTCGGAGGATACCTGGTTTTTTAAATCATAGTTAGCATTTTATATTGTTCAAACATGTATTGAATCTTATCGCTGTAATAACATAAGCTAGACCATCCTAAATAACAGTGTGATTCAGGAAGACAGTTACAGATTTAGCAAACAGTCTACAAAATATTACTAATGCACAATCTAAGTGGTTTTAAGTTTACCGATCATAACTGAATTAGGAAAAAACCCCCAATATTTTTAGTATATAAGTAAACAAGCTTCACAAAGAGCCACAGATTACAGAAAAAATGAATGCATGACTTTTGTGCATTCAGAACCATTGCTACAGCTTTGCGGGAGGCCGCTGGAGGCTGGATAAAATGAAGCCACGCTTCGTGCACATCTGGAACTTCTTTGCCCGGGAAGCTGGACTGCTTTGGAGGATACATGGATCAGCAAAGGCTTAGGTAAATCCAAGGATGACAGATGCAAAGTGGGTAGAAGTGCAGCATCAGATCCTGCTCATCACCTCTGGGCGAGGAGTGACAGGAGGTCACCACCCAAGTCCACATCCAGCACTTTGTCCGTCACAGGATTAGGTGAACTGTCCACAGCTTTGCCCTTGTGCAACATTTCATGAGTTCCTCTGTCCTCCCTCATGCGAATCAGAAGCAATCGGGCTCCCAATTAAGCATACTCAGTCACCGCTGCTGCTGAACAGCAGCTATGAATGCCGTGGAAGTCAGAATGTCCCCTCCAAGAGACAAGTATAAATGTTCACAGGGGCTTTTATAACAATGATCATTTCAGAAAATGGAGATATTTTAATCATTTCTAGAAATGTTTGCACAATTTGGTTTAACACCCTAATTCGCTGTGATTTAGATGTGGCAAATGACAGCCTTCCTGGGTCTTTCATTTGCGCATTACATCCAGCAGGGGTTAACAGGGATATTTAAATTCATAATGTTCTTTTTTTCTTTTGCCAAGCACTACATTTATAACAATTATGCATGGAATTAGATGGTATATCATTTCCAGGGAGAATTCCTTTTTGGCCTTTATCATTTTTTAATTAACAGCTATTATTATGAGAGTATTACTATGAGATGATACTCCATTTATTTTTTTCTATGTAGGTACTGAGGATTGAATCTCAGGAGTGTAAGGCGCACCCCTATGCCAGACTCTTTTTTTTCTTTCCTGACTTCGAGACGAGATCTTGTTGAACTCACTAGGCTGGCCTTGGACTTGGGGTTCTCCTGCCGGGGGGGCCTCCTCGGCAGCTGGGGTTGCAGGCATGTGCTTCTATGCCTGGCTTTCATTTGCTTTTAAATTATTTATCAGGCACTTAAATAGGTCCGTGTGGGGTGATGCTTCCGGCGTTCCAGATCCTCCCTGCGACGTGGCTTCCGTGCTCAGGAGCTTGCACTCAGACCCGCAACGCGGCGGCTAGGAGAGGAGGAGGACGCACGGCACAGAGAAGGCGCTGGAGCAGAGCTGAGCGCAGGCGGCCACAGGCCGGCCGCTCTGGCACAGCAGGGCTTGGCCCAGCCGGCGGGAAGGCGGAGCTGCGCCTCGGGAGCGCGTGGCTGGGCCGTGCGGGAGCGCAGCCCTGCTGCAGGCTGTTCCCTCAGCCCGGCGTGGTCGTGCGTTGGTCCTTCTGTAGTTCTTGGTTGATTACAGGCGCACACAGGGCCACGCTCAAGGGGAACTCGGTGCCTGAGCACGAGGAGGCTCCGGTCTTCCGCCGCGCTCCCCCTGCAGCCCCTCGTCCTCCTCTCTCGCCAAAGCTTGGTCCGTTTCTTCCGTGTCTTCCCTCCCCTCCCTCGCCCCCCTGACCGTTTCCTGCCCACTTCCCCACACCTGCTCTCCACCTTGGTGCCCAGTTACGCTTCTGGTTTCTACACCAGAGAATCCGCGCAGTGCTCGCAGCGCGTCCCTTCGCTTCGCGTGAGAACGTGGTCCCTGGTGCGTCCGTTTTCCTAGAACCCTCTCAGGCTTCCTCACCTGCGTCTCCTTTGCGTGCTCACACTTTGTTTTAGAGAAAGCCTTCACTGGCAGCACGCAGGATGCGCTCGGAGGAGGTCTGAAGCCACAACCAGCGTGGAGGACGGACTCGTGGGAGAGCGGCCAGCACCTGCGCAGGGTCTTCACAGTGCGGGCAGCAGGGCGGGAGCCGTCCCCGCAGCGTTTCTGAAGTCCACCTCGCGGGGCCTGGTTACGGATTGGGCCTGGGATTCAAAGGACATTGGGTCCCACAGAGAACTTGGATTACTGGTCAGATTACAGCAGTGCTCCGGGCCATGGTCCTGCTTGAGCTGCACAGTTCTTCAGATAGATTTACACGTGCACATTCAGGGAGAGAACGTGACTTGACGAATGAGCTCCATCCACTTATCTAACCTACAGGAGAAGCTTACTTTAGCTTCAATCTGTCACATCCTCGGACAGAAATAATTGTGCTACTTTGCAAATGAAACAACATTTGTTCCTAACCAGAGAGAAGCGATTGCTTTCGGTGTTTATAGACAACAGCTGTTGGCATCTGGTGCCAAGTGGAAGCTCAATAAATATTTATCGAGCATCTTTATGTCACACACACTGAGTCGAATAAGCTATAATCATTGCTCTGTGGCTGTGCAGGAAGCTGGGCTTGTAAACAAGATTGCGACATAGCCTGGTGGTGAATTCAGAGGTAAAACCATGGAGAGCTGCAGGAAGCACAGCAGGAGGACCCTCCCGGCTGGGCTTTGGGGACAGCCAGAGTGACCCTGGAGGAAAAAGTGCTCAGGACAGTGGGGACTCACTTTCAAGGAGAACCCGAGTGTGTGTGTAAGACCCTTCCAGGTGAGGGTGCAGCATGACCACACGTGGTGGTGAGGACAAGGAGGACAGCTGGGAGCCAGGTGTTTCCGGAGCACCCATGAGTCGGGGGAGGAAGAGTGGAGACGCCAGACAGAGAGCATGGGCAATTCAGTGTGTAATCCAGGGGATGGCTTGTATGCCTCAGAAAACACTGTGGAAGGCTGGTTATCTGTGAGTTTTCTTCCTTTGACATTTCCCCCTAGAAAGTCTGACTGATAAAAATACAGATTATAGGTAGATGTGAGCCCACAGCATGTGGCCTTCCAGGTGCTGATTGGGAAAAGATTAGTGCCACCTGGTGCCTCAGGCGCGAAGTAGCCTTGAACTAAACTGTCCCACTGATCATTTGAAAAGTGCCTGGACTCGGGCACAAGCCCTTGCTGTCACCGAGCCCATCAGGAAAGGTCTCGGTCTCCCCTAAGGACGACCATGCAAAGAACAAAACTGCAAATCTACAAGCACAATAGCAAAGCTCAGAGGCTAACTCACAGGGCATGTGAAATCTAAACAGGGAATACACACAAAAGCACTCTGGAGCTCATGCCACACTACGGGAGGTGGCAACATTATTGGTGATGGGCTGTGGCAGTCCTTAGTTTATGAACCTTTTGAAAAAAAATTACTGTATTTTCCCACTGTGCATTTTTGCAAATGCGTAATAAAACTCTGACCTCAAAATTGCTTCCCGAATCTGAGAAGCACTCCCCTTTGAAGCTTTGGGAAACGCATGTGCGCTGACCTGCGCTACGGTCACTTACTGTGTGCACCCCCAGGCCATGAAGCATGTATATCAGGTCCTCGGTGGCCACGTTCCCAGAGGCGCCTTTTGCATACGGACAGCCACCCAGGCCGGACACTGCAGAATCCACCACGGTGATCCCCATCTGGAAGATAAACCAGAACACTTAAGGCTTGTTTCCCTATGACTGTAGGTTGCTTCATTTCTGCTGAGCCCGGGAAAAGGGCAAATCCGCAGTCTGAGCCTTTCCCCAAGTACCCCAGCCCCTTGTACTGCAGCCGCTCCCATGCTCATTTCTTTCCTGACCAGTCTTCTCTCTCAGACTAATAGATCCCTGTAAGGATCTCTGGGCCCAGAAGAATCTTGTATCAAAACTAATATTTTTCTTTCTTTCTTTTTTTTTTTTTTTTGATAACACACAACTCTGTAGGTGGTAGATCCTGAATAAGGCTATTGCTCTCCAAGGTCGTACAGACTCTCCGATTTCCTAGCTTTCTGGGACACCTTCAGATCAAATCTCAGCAATATGAGCAGAGAGGGAGGTGTGCCTTTCTGCTATGACAGCTGAAAGTTTGACGTCAGAAGATGCAGAAAGACCGAGTCCACTTCTTCCCTTTCGGGCCCTGAAAGAAGAAGGGCCCGACGGCGTCTGAAACGAGCCATTCCTGGGCAGAGCATCACGGAATGCTGCTGCACCCAGCCTGTCTGGGTTGGGGCCAGAGAATTTAACTTTTACGAAGGTCCCCATGGTTGCGGTGCTGCTTCTTGTCCTCTTTTCTTCCCTTCTTCCTCTGCCCCTCCCTCCTTCTCTCCCTCCCTCCCTTTTTCTTTTTCTTCCCCATCTGGCTGAAGATCAGCTGAGCCAACGCTGTCAAGTACTGTCATATGGTGACATTATGACATTTTTGTCATAACCAGTGAACACACGCTGATTTTCAGCTCTGTACCTTAGTCACATTTCTTGTGGCAATACTAGCAGCACCTGTAAAGGATTCTCACGGATGTCCTCTTCCGCGTCCAGAGCCCGTCAGCACGTCACATGCCTTTAGGACGCCGGGCTCCCGAGCTGCTTGACAACTGTGGGCTGTGGATTTCACAGTGTCTTTTGTGTGAGGTCAGGCTGGGACCACCGCACTTCAGAAGACCCCAGCATCGCAGCACCGCTCCCACAGTGTCCCACCAAGCGTGTCCATACTCCCGAAACTGTGCCTAATGCTGACCTTGGCCACCGGGCTGTGGCAGTGTCCACTGGGCTGCTCGCCGGCTTCCCTCCTCCCTTTCTGCACTGCATTCTGAAGCCAGTCCCCACGCCACTGACACGATAGCACCCACACCAGTCACTCCTAGGTCCTCAGTGTAGCATGTCTGTCTGTGCTCTTACATGTGTTCACTTGTGTGTTCGGACACTGACTCACATTAACAGGTGTGTGTAGGCAGTACTTTTGCACGCTGAGTTGAGAGTGCATACTTCCTCATGCACTCCCCTGCATAGCTCACTCACATGCAGCCAGCGGGAGCTCTCCCTGGCTCTTCTGAGCTGGCCAAGGGAGCGGCACTTTTGAGTTGCTTCTCTGGAGCTTTCCCTGCTGTGCTAACTTCACTCAACATTCACCAAGGGCCTCGAGGAAGGACTAGAGCTCTGCAGGCCTGGTCTTCACTGGGGACTGAGGCAAGTTCTCAGGCAGAGGCTGCAATGTGCCTCCATTTCTCCTTGTTGGCCTCTTCAGCATGGGAAGACAAGCAAGCTCTCTTCCCATGGTCCCCAGTCTTTCTCAAAGAATAGCTGAGAAGTTCAGTCATAGGCAGGAGCCAATAGAGACAGGACAGTGTATGCATATGTGGGATGGTTTACATTGGCTGTAAACCAAAATAGCAAGAATAAAGAATTATAAAAATGTGTAATATCCTATAGTAGTTGCACAAGGCAAACTTGGGGTGTCAGTCCATGGGGGGCCTGCCATGAGATCACACAGGGTTTCTTTTTTCACTTAAAGGCTAACATTGATCCACTTAAAGGAACCAAAATTTCACCTCAGAGACAGAAGTTTGGGCCCTCTCAGTCCTGTCTGCCCTTTGGGATTGACACTGGCTCTTAAACAATGTGGACACCGCACCAAGTAAATCCACGCTGCAGCGATGGTTCCAGCACTGCAGCCTGTCTCAGGTTCCCTCTGGGGTGCTCTCTTGCAGCTGGTATGGGACCCAAGGCAGAAGTTCTGACCCCTTCACCCATTATCTGTCACGTGCCTGAGTTGGCTTTCATCTGCAGATGCTGGGTTCCTGGGCTGCAGAAAGGCAGCTTTCCAAGGAAAATGGTATTGAAAGAAGGCCTCCAAACGCCCAGAGTGAAGAGAGCAGGAGGCGCTGCTGGGAAGGGGCTGGCGGCAGCCCTCGCGCACCCTGCTTGTGGCACTCTGGCTTCTGCTCTCACTGAAGGTTGAACTGCAGTCACAGGAGACCAGAGAGGAAGCACACTGCTGCCTGGTCAGAACAGCACGAGAGAGAGGCTCAGTGGACTTTGGGGACAGTGAAGGAACAAACCACTCCGCATCTTCTCAGGGAGGCCAACATGGCCCGTCACTTTGGCAAAAGTGAAAGAGAATTTGCAGTACAGCAGCCAGAGTCAGGAAGAGCTCGTAGGTGGCTGAGGCTGCAGTAGATAACAGCCAGCAACCATAAGACCATAAAGCATGTTCCACCTCACAGTAGACTAGCAATTGAAAAGAAGAGTGACACTATGACACTTCATTCATGCTAAGATTTGTTTTAAATATCGATAATTAAATTGTATATTATAGAGAGAGTGTGGTGGTGCACACCTGTAATCTCCGGACTCGGGACTGAGGAAGGAGGATTGTTGCAAGTTCTAGGCCAACCTTGGCTGCATAGTGAGACCTTGTCTCAGAAGAAAAAAACAAGATAAGTAAATTGTGTAACAATAGAGTATGAAACAATCTACAACCTAAACCAACACATCTCACCAAGGAAATGCTGTGTTACGGAAGTCAGGCTCCAAAGCAGGCACACGGAAAGGGTCCCTCTACAAATCCCTAAAGGACACCTGCTGATCAAAGCCAACGTGCAGAGCCCAGTTTCCCTCCAGCAGGGGACAGCGGACGGGCCAAAGTCGAGCTTCCCGGCAGCCCACCTTCCGCTCCCTGAGCTGCGCTGCCTACACTGGTGACAGGTCTTGGTGACAGTGGTGACCTCATCTGTGGGCTTTTCCTCACATGTATACCTCAGCAAGCATCCAAGCCATAATGCCACATTTTTGGAACCAGAGGTAAACTGGCAAACACACGACTAAGAATACAAGCTGGAGTTTCTGTGGTGAACAATTGATAATCTTTCTGAAGTTGCCAATACCCAGTGTTCTGGAAATTCATTATCAGGGAAGTTCAGCTTGGGGCTGGGGAGATATCTCAGTGTTCTAAGAACGTGGCTGGCAAGCACAAGGACCCAAGTTCCATCCCAATACTGCAAGCCATGCCATGAAACCAGGCATGGTGGTGCATGCCTATGATCTAGAGCCGGGAGGCTGAGACAGGAGGGTCACCAGGAGTCTGAACTGTGTAGTGAGACCCTGTATCCAACAAATAAAAAATAAAAAAGAAAGTTCACTTATTGACAGTTAAATTGGGTTAAATTAATAGGCATTGGGAGAGGATGGGCCCCCACAGACGGGGTCGGAGCGGAAGAGGAGAGAACACCAACACCACGGCTGGAGGCGCATCTGCAGAGGGCGAGGGCTGCAGCATGGTGCCCATTGGACCACCCCTCCCTTCCTTTCCCCAAAGCCCTCTGTTCTCTCTGTGTCACGGAACTGAAGGTCCTGCCACACCCCTTGCGGCACAGGTCCGTGGGCTCAGGCCGAGGGTTTCATAGTGGCTCAGTGGCTGTTCACGGGAGTCGACTGGTGGTTGCAGTTTGACGTGAATTGCACCTACTTGTGACTTGGCTCTGTAAAATGTTACTGGAGCAGAGCCCTTTCAGCACACACACACACACACACACACACACACTCACACACACACACCTCTTGGGAGTCACTGTTCTCGGTAACCTTTCTTGTGTGTAACCTCCTTCCTTCTAGAAATACAGTCTGTGATATCTGGGAGACAAGAGTTTGGCATAGCTGACAAACAACGGTTGGGGGTTGTTTTTCTCCCATCATGGCTCTTTTTAGAAATATTTTTAAAATTCCAAGTGTATAATTACATAAGAAATAAAAGAAAATAAATATCTTTAGTTGACTCTCACTGCAGTTCTGATATTTAAGAAAGAAAACCTGAAAACAATTCAAATGTCTCAAAATGGCACTAACTTCACCACTTACGACGAACGATAAATGGTAAGTAAACGTGCCAGTCATGGAGCCGAAGCGGTTACAGAACGTCATCACAGCACGCGCCATTCTGACACAGTTTTTCAGTGACAATGGGACTCGAAGCATTGCAATTGCTAACAACACTGGTGCTGATGGGTAGTGGAATTATAGGTGATTCCATTTATCTTATTCTATTTTGTTTTTCAATATCTTGACTAGAGTTGTATAATAATAAATGGAATGATTTGGAAAAAATCAAAACCTGAATTTCTAAGTTAATAAAACCTCAGAGACAATCAGTTGATTACGGGAAAACAAAACGTGGTGCGCACGTAGTGGGGCAGCAGGGGGCTGCCGGAGAGCGAAGCCCCTCGTGGCCGCAGCGCGGACGTCCGGCTCGCCGCCGCTCCTGCTTCGCGGGGTCTGGGGATGCGGACGATGTGCCCTGAGCTCGCATGGCTGGTCGCGCGGGACAGGACAGGCGGCAGCAGGCGGAGCCCGAGCGCCGAGTTCCAGCTGCACTGCGGCAGAGGCAGGCTGTGTGCACCGCGCGCACGCTGTGCATGTCGTGCAGTGTGGAGAAGGACTTCGGATGTCTGCACATGCGTGAGTAGTACAGGCTTTAGAAGATAGATATGCATTTGGCCCCATTTACACACCCATCGAAACGGCGCATGGCCCCTCCCTCATAAATACGCACATTTTTAGGTTTTTAATGCATCCATTGGAATAATTTAAAAAGTATAAATCAATAAAATTATATCCTCTTCTAAGTAAACTCCTTTGCATATTTCTAGTCATCACCTTATAATAATCTC